AGGTTGGTGTGCATTGTAAGGTTGGTGTGGCTTGGGCCAGTGTGGTGATAGCTGGATGCCAATGTACAAGGGATGCCAGTGAACAAGGGATGCCAATGTACAAGGGATGCCAATGTTCAAGGGATGCCAATGTACAAGGGATGCCAGTGAACAAGGGATGCCAATGTACAAGGGATGTCAATGTACAAGGGACCAGGATGGGGGCTGGTAAATGGTAGTTGAGGTGAAAACAAAAGCTTTAGGGAACAGGAGAATGAATGCAAATGTGAAAAAAGAGAGTTTCTTTTAATGACAAATCTATTGATAACTTCCTTTGTTTACCAACACTGCAGGTTTTTGTCATTACTGGCATTTCATTTCATAATTTGGGTTTGAAACTCCGTAAACAAGGAAATTAAGTAAATGTGCCTAAAAAACCATATCAGTGTCTATCATAATAACATTCAACAGAAGATTAAGAAATTTTATTTAATGTATGGGTACTGGGAATGAGAAAATCATGTCGTAAAAGTAAAATTCTTTGGATTCTGAAGAGACAATTTACTACCAGGTACCTACAATTTAACAAAAGCATAGTTTGACCATCTTAAGTGAGGCAGACACCAAGCTTCTCCAGCCATCCACACATCAAGATGGAGGAGAGGGAACCAGCAGTTTTGCAAATGCGTGATAAGGAGAACTGGCATGTTTGTTGTACAGTCTATGTTTTGAAGGCGGTACTCTGTAATTTACCTACATGTTCCAATGCTGTTAACTCTCTCACAAAGGAAGATCTGCCCCTAGAACACGCCACTGTAAACCTGGCCCATAACTCCAACCCTGCCCACAAATTGTTGGCCATGTAATTCTTGCTGTGGAATCTTGGACACACTCCATGGAGGCTTGTGGGCTATTGTTATATTTGTTCATGGTGTAGGCCACATCTCTATTTAGCTTCCTTTATGCACACTCCACTTAGTCACACTTTCAAACCAACACTTTCAACAAGACAAACATCATATTGTTTCAGACATTACAAAAGCATATTTGCTAGTGAAAGTTAATCATATTCATAACCAATGTACAGGTGCCCCTACAACCAACAGCCTATATATGCTATATGTAACAAATTGTGCCCCTACAACCAACAGCCTATATATGCTATATGTAACAAATTGTGCCCCTACAACCAACAGCCTATATATGCTATATGTAACAAATTGTGCCCCTACAGCCAACAGCCAATATATATGCTATATGTAACAAATTGTGCCCCTACAACCAACAGCCTATATATGCTATATGTAACAAATTGTGCCCCTACAACTAACAGCCTATATATGCTATATGTAACAAATTGTGCCCCTACAACCAACAGCCTATATATGCTACATGTAACAAAATGTGCCCCTACAGCCAATTGCATATATATGCTATATGTAACAAAATGTGCCCCGACAGCCAATTGCATATATGGTACCTCTAGCAAGCTGTGTCACACAACAAAAACCTGTTTATGGAACATCTAGCAAGTTGTAGCCCCACAACCACCATCTATATGGTACTTGTAGCAAACTGTGCCCTAACAGCCAAATGTCAATAAATTGTACCTCTGTCAAACAGGAGGCTTCTCGTGTTCATGCAAGTTGGTATATAACTGGATGATAATCATGGATGAGAAAAAGCTAGGTTTGACTATTGGCACAGTTGTAACTATTACATCTTTTGGATTCAGCAGGCAACATAGGAGTGAGTGAGTGAGATTTTATGCCGCTTTTAGCAATATTCCAGCAATATCACTGTGGGGGACAACAGAAATGAGCTTCACGCATTGCACCCATGTGGGGAATCGAACCTGAGTTTTCAAAACATGACGACCGAACACTTTAACCACTAGGCTACCCCACCGCTCCTGGCTATGTAGGAGACTTACAGTGAACTTTGGAATGAAGGTGTACTGTCTTCAGAAAGGTTTATTGCAGACAAAAATGAACAACTGAAAGTACCTGCTTATGTTTTTAATTAATATAAAAGAGTATTTAATTTTAAATTTACTATTTCAAGCTCTACACAATTTCACAATTTGATGAAATCTTTGAGATGGGTTGACATGTCAACTATGAAGTTGCTATCAGTGGGGTTTGACATTATCAGGCTGATAGGACCCCAGTGATTGGGAACGTCTTGACTGAGTGTTGTCACGCCCCACCCCTGTGCTTATCAATTATGATACCCTCCCTAGCCATTGTCTATCTCCACCATTTCAAGGAGGTCATTTACTCATGGGTCATATGTCTCGTGTAAAAAAGCCTGCATAAATTCCTGATATACTAAGAAATCTTGACAAAACATATATTTATTATTCTCCATGTTCCTGATTTACAGAATATGTCAGTAGGGTTGATACAGAGTAATAATGTACATGATGGATTTACACCTAATCAGGACAGATGCAGAAATTGCAGGTATGACTCATTTATCATGAAGAAAAAGGTAAAAAATACACGGGACAATGTGCCACTAATTTGTAAATTTATACAAAACTTCAGTTGCAATGTACAATAAATAGCTCATAGATCCAACTGTTTAGTGAGTAATTACACCAGACACCATAGGCAGTCTCTTGTCACATGGCTGGATGCTTCTGGGGGCACAATGGCACTGGTGAGGATACTGGTGGTGTCATGTGTCAGATCACTGGGAGGCTAGGGTGGGGTGAGGATACTGGTGGTGTCATGTCTCAGATCACTGGGTGGGGTGAGGATACAGATCACTGGGAGGCTAGGGTGGGGTGAGGATACTGGTGGTGTCATGTGTCAGATCACTGGGAGGCTAGGGTAGGCTAGGTGGGGTGAGAGGATACTGGTGGTGTCAGATCACTGGGAGGCTAGGGTGGGGTGAGGATACTGGTGGTGTCAGATCACTGGGATGCTAGGGTGGGGTGAGGATACTGGTGGTGTCATGTGTCAGATCACTGGGAGGCTAGGGTGGGGTGAGGATACTGGTGGTGTCAGATCACTGGGAGGCTAGGGTGGGGTGAGGATACTGGTGGTGTCAGATCACTTGGAGGGGTGAAGGTACTGGTGGTGTCATACATCAGATCACTTTTCAATCCCAGCTTTCATAGTTTTACCATAAAACTTTCATAGCCAACATTAAAAAGATTATCTTAAATATCTTAAACTAACAGCTCTTAGTTACAATCAAATCATCAAATGATTGCATTCTCAAAGGGCACAAACATGCAAACATTTACTTAGAGTTCAAACAATTCAAAAACCAGATAACAAGATCACAAACTACCTCAGGGCTAACATCTCTTTGAAGACAAGACAGCTCTACTATGTTTTAAATACATTATGAAAACATCATTTACATGCAGCTAAAGACATTTCTTGATTTGTCACATCTACTTTGAATACTAACCCCAGGGGATCTCACTCTCTACAAGATTTCTGTGTTCATTTCAACACATGTATCAGTCTCTCTTAAGATACAAACATATTTAATGAGATATTGATGTACAAGTTATACAAGTACTGCCTATCTATTGACCTCAGTTTCAAGGTTGTACAGTATGGTAGGATGTAGTTCTCTTTTTCTAGAATGTAAAAGTAATTCTGCATAACTTTGCATAATATTACCAAATTGAAATCTGTGTACTTCATTAGCACAGAATTATTAATGTTTCTTAAATTGTTAGGATTCTAACGCTTCAAATCAGTGACCACTTTATTCAAGTTTCAAGGTTTGCCTATCGATTAAACACATCTGAAGTTGCTTTGAAAACAAGTGACATGTGGCTGGTATTCTTGCTGTGTCAACAAAGGTGTCCTAGTTTGAAAATCTTTGTTTGTCAACAAATAGGTTTGCGCAACAAAAGAAACCCTATGAAGCAGTGCTGACCGCCTTGTTCTAACATCAGCCTTCCTTGTCTCCACCCAACCCAACTATCTGGGTCAATCATAGAAAAAAGCATGGAGCAACACAGTGGGGAGAGACAGCAGAAAATACCCCCAGCAACATTATGTATCTAGTACTTCCAAAACAATCAAAGTAAACACTCTATCTGTTGGTTTCTCCGTGCTAAAATTAGGCAAAGAATTTAAGGATAAGCCTGCCAAATCGGTTGATCTCTCTGTATATTCAAGAACAGATTTGGGGTTGATCCTCTGCAAAACTTACAACTGTGCCAAATCTTAAGGAGAAAATACTGTTTTGATGTCTATATTTAACCCTCTCTGAGGACTATATGTATGTGACTGTAACAGACAGGTAGTAATCAATACATGCCATTCAGGTTTCAGTGGGATAACTTAACTACAAGGTAACAAGAGGACTTCACTTTGTCACCAACGGCTGCTACATACAGGTACAAAGTGTAGCAATCACCTGCTGCCCTGTAACCCACCTGGTGGAGGGGTCCGGTGGAGGTATCTACAAGTAGATGTACATGACCCTCCTACCATTCCTTTACTGAAAAAATACCATGCACACCAAAGCTCTGGATGTGGGATTGCTAAAAAATACTTTAAATATCTCTACATGAACACTGCAGCCATGATAAGACAAAATTATTTGGCAATTCATGTAAAGAAAAATTAATTTGTGCAGGGTTTTTGACACAACGCACAAATGTACACAAAAATATACAGAATGGACGCAAATAAAATTTCACTGCGTCTGTCTGGACCCACAATATCATTCATTCACTGTGCCCACAGCACATCTATGACTGTGTTAAGTGTTTGGTTGTTTCTTTCAGAGCAGTTACATGCATCATTCCATCCATCAGTCCACATGATTAGTGATTCATTCCAGGCTCTAAAGAAATTATAGAAACATACAGTTCTCTACACCGTTACTTCACAGGACCCTCATAGTGCCTGCAAGCACCCTTCAAACTAATACTTGTCTAGCATGGGGGTCCCCAGAACACCCATTTTTGTGAGTCATGGTAAAACCCTGCTTGTGTATTGCTGTGCTTAGATGTTGATTTGATATTGACTGTACAAACTCACCAAGACTTTCATCTGAGAGATCAGATATGGACGGAACCTTCTGCAGTGTTGGTACCCGGCGATCTTCATGAGAATCAGAGGAAAACATTGTTTGAAGGCGGCCAATTTCCTTTGTCAGCTTTGGATCGTAGGTTACCTTAAAAAAACATAAACTCAGTTAGACATCATGATTTGTAAGCATCAATATAACAAATGTTCCATGTCTAAGCAGTTTTACTCAGACAAGCTCAATCAGCTGGTAGAAAGTACGGTTAGAATTTCTTCAGACTGGCGAAATTCTGTATGCACTAACTGTCCTGAACAAGAAAGGCCCTTAAAATGGCAACGTTGGAGGCACCTGAGTAAATTAATAAACTTAGTGAAAAAGACGTGAGATGATTGGGGGGTGAAGCTGATTTCAAGAGCATCACGATGACCATATCTCCGTCTATTAGAGACTTGCTTCTATTAGAGATCGGTACTCGCACCACAAATACTGTACTCTCATCTCCAGTATATGACATTTCATTTCAAAGGTCTTTGTCATGTCTAACCATGTTTGAAAATGAAGTACTAGTGACGGACGGAGGAAACCTGGAAACGCAGTACTGATACTGAACACGCCTCTCTAATGGGTGCAACTAAACTTGAATGGATTTACCGATACTGCAATTCAAAATTATGCACTGAACTAGTACAAGTGTGCTCTATTACATGTAACATTTTTTATCAGTAAAAACACAGAATGTGTTTAATTAGAGATATATAGATAACTCGATTTCTGCATTAACTATGAAGAAAAGAGGGACAATTATTTCGGGATTACCCACATGGTACCATTGCTCCTAATTTCCTACAGCTATGTTCACTGGTCATTTGGAATTGCCAAAATACAAAGAGACTAAGTATCATTGGCTGAAAGTTATTTTGAATATTCCGAGTGTATACATAGAGAGAAATTTCACCTGAGAGACAAATTCAGCCTGGCTATAAGGTTGGAGGTGTTTGCGCCTCCAACGAATAAAGCCCAAGTACAACCTGCTGGATGTCACTCATGGTGTGTTCTCATCACCGGCAGATCGCACTTACATGTGCTGTAGTTGTACCACTGACAAATGGGAGTTTTCTCTGAAACTTGCTGAAATCCGCGCAATAATAATCATGAACAAATTCACCTAAGTAGGCTAATGTCACTTGTAGAACTTGTGTTAAATTTCATGATGTTGTACAATCACTTTCCATCACCACCCTGAAAATGAACTGTCTCATCCAGCCCTTGGCAATGAAATGTGTCAATACAGCAAGAAACATGATAAATGGTGGGGGTCGTAATGGTGTGTTTGTGAGAGATTACAGCAGCTACGCTAATCATTAAGGACAGCTATTAGTGGTCCTCTAACGAGCAAGTTGCGTGATTCTTACCTACTGCACTTCAACCACCAAGAAATGTTGTCAAATGAGGCAGAAAATCTCATATCTCTCAATCTTGAGGTGGTTACCTAACTGTACTTTCCATTGAAACAATTCCTTATTCATTTCATCCCCACATCTGCTCCCAGCTGACCGTTTCTTAGTGTCAGCTATGCCCAGGATAAGAGATCATTACCAGAATGTAGAAACAACACATACATGTATGTCTCTGATTCAACTCCAGGCCTCTCACCTTTTGAAAACCAATATTGTGTTGTATTAATGATACAGATAGCTCTTTTATCTGTAGAATGAAGGGGACAAAGCGCCCCAAGGACTTGGCCTTTCTTACACAATTAAGGCTGAGAAATACAAGTGACATCATCAGTATCAAACATATGTATGAGACTGAATCCCAGGTCTGTGATTGGCTTGTCAAGTATGTGACCTGAGGTCAGATAATGAGAGACTACTTTCCCGACTGTGATTTATTGATAAGTTGGTCTTGATTTGCACAAATTCGCTTACAACTGTGTCCAAAGTTTACAGTTTTAGAGAATTAATAAATGTCCTCTGGCTTTAACTATGCATCATTATGTTCTTCATCTTGATGATCTACAGGTAAGACAGACACCTTGTGTGAAGGGTCCTGCTACGTGGGTCCATCAAAAGGTATGTAGACTAACTGTATTCTTGATATCCAATGTTTGAAAAGCTTCCATTTTATTTTGAAGGAAGTCATATCCAAAATTTCACATATGTGGGTAATGTGACTAACGAGATATTAGTCATCACAACACATTTGGGTATAATATTGCTAACAAAACTGCAGAAAATGAAAAACGATCTGTCATTTGGTACCTCTTGGACAATGGTATGCCCTCAGAGTATATCATATGAAATATGTTCAGTATACGATTGGATGACTTCCCGTCATAATCAATAGTCAAAGATTTGGATTGCTTAATTTATATTTAGTTGAGAGCTGTTTTTTAAGGACACCCCCATTTCAATCTTCCTAAAACATTGTGTCCAGATATTCAAGCTGGTACTGTTTACAATATATTGTGAGCTGACACTTGTGTGACCATTCAGTGTTTAGTTCGAACACTTGGCATCATGTATGAATAAGTGAAAACATTAGAATAATTTATGTCCTATGATTACGTCATCTGAAAGGGGATGGGTAGAGTCTCCAAAACAGGCTCTTTCAGTCAACATAAAGGGGGGAGTCACCTTAACAAGCGATTGTAATTTCAAACTGCTTTTCTATGAACTTTTATATATAAGTGTGATTCTAGGGGACGTCTATCAATCTCAAACACACAAAATATTTCTTGCATATTTTGTTTCCTGAAGTTTTTTATGCATTTATTGTAGATTTTGCGTTTTTTGAGGGTACCAAGATAGAAGGTCAAACAAAATGGGGATCGTGAGACTGGAACATAGCAAAACCAAATTGCTTGAGCTTGACAGATAATATGTAGTAAAATAAAACATAAAAATAACTGCATTTGTATCGTTTTCTTGGTGACTCTACATACTTTTTGATCGCCCCTTGTAGTTAGTTAAAGGTAGAAAGCAGTGTGCAAGTGTGCCTGTCAGACTGTATTTATCTCACAACTTGTAGATACATCTTGAAACAACTCATTGGTATTTAAAAGACACTTGTGTTGTAATCTCTCTCTATCTCAAATATCAGCAGCAAAATATTGTCAAAAGGGTTAAGATGAATATGCAAAATGAATAATAGGATTTCCTTGACAATAAAACAGAACACATGGACAGGCAGAAGTCAACACCCCACAAGATAACGCGAGACATAGATCATAATACAAGATATGGAATATTATATCAGGTCTGAAATGATAATAAATTAACAAAGGGTCGGTGACATTTATCAGCCGCCAGTCACTTTTAGCATCAGGTAGAATGTTACTATGGAGCACATTGTTCTTGTAGAACAAAACAAAAATATATACAATGTATTTAACCCAGGAGTAGACACTGACTTGTCAAACTACACTTCTGTAGTTTACACTAGAGGTAAAGAAGGCCAATCAAGTTGCTTTAAGTAGTCGTGATTTCTGTTACAAAACAAAATAAGTGACTTGGTAGACCAATTGCTTGCTCAGGATTTTGTATGAGATCATTAATGAAATCATTAATTAACTGGGGTAAAATTGGTTCAATATATTTCAATCTGTGAAAGACTGTAGCATAGCTTCAATGTTGACAAAAATAAAGCCAAAGACAAGAGACAATCTATGCTAGATTTGCATGGGTTAGTTCTGCACATCACTAGTTATAAGTCACATCAACAACTATGACCACCATAGGAGACAGGTCCATATACAACTGCACCAACTTTCAAGCTCACTCTTCTCCCTGGCATTGTCCTACCAAAGGCAGGTATACAGTTGGAATACTATAGTCAGCCAAACTTTCACTTTGTAATCTGTAATTTCAAAATACAATAACAACAAAGAAAGTATTTGCTTCTACCGTGACATGGTAGAGAAATTAGCAGTTTCTATGAAAGGCGGTTATTTTGTTTTGAATTGTCACTCAACAGAATCAAGTTTCAAAATTCATGATAAAATCATCATGTTCGGAAATTTGGGGATTCTCATATCCATAAGAAATTGAAAAGTCAACCAAAAGTTCTGAAAAGACATTTGGACATGTTTAAGTATACTTCAACTTTTCTCTTAGTTATTGGTGTAGACTTTCGGGTATGAAGTCTCTTCAATATCCACAAGCATGTTATGATAATGGTAAATTTAACCGAGTCTCAGGTGTTCTCAGGTGTTCATGTATTGTGTTTATGACAGGGCTCTACTATGCCTGGATTTCACAAGATTCAGAAATTATTAGCAATAATAGCATGTTTTCCCAAATATGTAAAAATATCCAGTTTCCAAATTGGCATGCTAGCCATTAGGGAATAAGTGACATCTCTTGTCATATTAACTCTAATCTTTGCTGGGGAATGAAAAGTATAACATGGAACTATTTACCCAGAAATATTTATTGCGCATATTCTGTATGTTTTGATTTCAGTCTCACATATTAAAGATAAATAAGTTGAGGTTTGACCCCAATAGTGAATGTAATAAACTATTGAGTTCAAAATGTGCTCACAGCAAATTGTGGATGAATTTTACTTTGTACTGGCGTGGCCATTATAGAAATTAGACTAACACTTATTCATTTAGGACTTTAGCACTGCAAATAGGGTGGGATGGAAGGGAAATAATGCCATTCAGGGACTGTGAGACAGACTACATAGAAATTTAAGAACTGAGTTTGTGGACCGAAACTTTAATGTACTAATGATAAATTATATCAATTATTGTTGTTGAACAACAACAAATATATCAGCAAACTGGCCTTGTTTCTCAAAAAGTAAATCAATCTAATTGTGAAATCCTGTAATCTTTCATGTTCAAATCATTTCAGTGTATATCTAAAAGCTTTTGGACAAGAGCCCTATACACAAATAAACTTATCTTGTCTTGATAGCACCATTACTTAAATATTCTGACATTTATATCATCTCCAGAAGTGAACAAGTATGCAAGATATCTGTATTTTAGGAACATGACATTGCAAAGATTGAAATTATGTGTATGATTCAGATATTTATGGAATATATCATTAGACAAAAAACAATTCTAATTATTGTTCAGAAAATATAAATGACCATGCAGTTTTCCTATTAGGAACATGATTTCAATAATGTAAAAGTAAAATGTCATAACATTTATGCCATCTGTGCATGTATTGTCTAATTAACTGTTTGAGGTTGCATAAAAATCTTATTTTCATTTAGTAGTTGATCATGTTAACTCATGGCCAGTAAAATTAACAATCAATCCCAACTATCTGCTTGTATCAGAGAAACTGCACAAATCCCAAAGGTGGTAAAAAAATGTCACATAGCAGGTGTCTACATTCTCTTTGTTTTTCTCATTTCAGCTGTTTATTTTCCAAGCTCACAAGGCCAAATATGTCAAATAAAGGTCCGTCTTGAGGACTGAGCTGAACATGCTGAATATGTGTAGACCTCGACCATTGTTTGGCACGCTGAGTTCCACCTAGACAATATTTACGCCCATGCCGCTAGGATGCTAACTTTGCTCTCCGTGCTTGTGCCAGTTTAATCAATGTGTTTTAGGAAGCGCTGCACAATTGTCTTCTGTTGGCAGTTATCTGGCTCTAACCCTCCACCAGATAACGGTTTTTCGATCAGGCTTTTAACATGCTTCCATATACATGTGCATTACCTGGTAAAAGTAGGCAATGGATGTTTAGGTGATAGAATGTCAAAAGGAACTTACACATCAGGCATTTTGTATGTAGGAGATTAACATGGAGGTCTCAATTATAGAAGGTACCCTGGCCACAAGACGTAGTTTTGCCATTAAGCACATGAAAGACTTCTCCATTACCAGGTCACAACTCTCAATCTTGACTTAAAGTTAAACATATGAAAGACTTCTCCATTACCAGGCCACAAGACGTAGTGTTGCCATCAAGCACATGAAAGACTTTGCCAGGTCACAACTCTCTGTCTTGACTTAAGCTTATGAAAGATTTCTCCATTTAATACCAGGTCACAATTCTCAATCTTGACTTAAAGTTAAGCATATGAATGACTTCTCCATTACCAGGTCACAAGACATACAATTTATGTACAAAGTAAGTGACCCCCTTGTATGTCACATACAAAATCAATGACCTCCCAGTTCCTATAATTTTTTTATATCTTTATGCACAAAATTGCTATCACCCCCACCACACCCCCACAAGTATGTATGTACAAAAGTGGTGCCCAATTGAGACACAAGATGAAGATCTTGACATCAAGCCCACGAATGACAATCCATAAGCAGGTAGTTATGTGCAAACCACATACACATGTATTTCTTAGGTCACATATAAAACCAAATATCACAGGAGGCAAGTCAAACCAGCTAACAATTTTAGTAAGATATGGACAGTGATCATCTGACAAAACCTGAGTAACAGAGATTATTACCTAAACTCTGGTCACTGCATATGTACTACTCACGTACGTAAACTAAACAAAAAGAATGTGTAAATCACTGTTTGAATAAACCTTGTAAATCAGGGATGAAAAAAAAGATAAGGGAAGAAATATTTTCTAATTCCACTATATTCTCCTTTAATACTTTCACACATAAGGATAAATAAACACAGGTGGACAATAAACAATTTGATTCACTTAGTGCCCTAATTTGAGCATAAATTGCATTCACCCAAATATGACTGATCATACCGTTTCAAACTGGGTATGCTTTTCTGAAATCAACCATAGGTTGAGAACTGTTCCCATGTTCTGTGACCCATTGATACATTGTCTCCTCTCGACTTGCTGTCAAGAGATGTCTAGCGACTTATAGAAGCGTTCTCATTAATTCAGCACCGCGGTTATTATGTGCAGGCCATTCAATATAGCAACAAAGCGAACCTATTCAAGCGCGCACAGCTTCATTCATCGGGACCCCAGCTTGAGTTTATGAATGAAACAAGTTTCTCAGAACGAGGCTAGAAGTTCATACCTACCTTCGCAGATCGGGCGATGGGTTGCCCTGTGAATTTACGTTTCTTTGACTCAGTGGGGAAAAACTCCACGTTTTCCATTGCATAGTCAGGCTGATAAAGTTCCAATTCCATGATCTAAAACCAATGATAATTCCATGTCACGCTGAATTTGTTACATGTAAGCAATCGGGTATATTTCCATTCATCTTCTACTACGCCATGTTGAAATATGATACGGCGATTTCTAATTCATAACGACCTGTACTCATGGCTTTTATAAGATACGTAAATTAATACACACAAGACATATGTATAAGTGACAAGAGTGCGTATATTGGATCTGTAAAAAATGATAATGGCTAGCGAATATAGATGACACGAGTTAATTCGAAGGCTTTCATGTGAAGAATGAGCAACATGTGCATGTACACGCGTCTGGGTATTTGAATGCAGGTGATTTAATCGTGTGGATGACTACATGGCTAAGAATGGTGGTCACGGTACTCACGGGGGTAGGACAATTCCCTGTCTGACTTGTAGCTTCACAACAAGCAGCCTCTGCCGCTTTCTTGTGACTCGGTCGAAATAGGTCAAGCTATCCAAGACCTTCTGGATCGCGTGAGAACACTGAAATTATCATCCACATGGACAAAATATTACTCCAGGAAGATTTCTGATCTGCCACAGTGAATAACCATTGATAGTATTCCTAGATGAACGCCAGATAGATGTAGAGCAATCACAACACGCAATCTAATAGCTCCTTCCGCGATCTTTTCTTCCGTAATATCGGAAAGGGTTAGAGATTTGCATCACATGAAACCTGTTGTTTGTGGATTAACAACATGGCGCCCATTGGCTAACAGTGTTTACTGGGGAAGAGGTGACCCCGGGGTCAATCTATTTTCATTGGCTGTTGGTGTTTATCCTGAGGTCAGTGGGCGGTACTGACCTGAGAAAACAAGTGCCCGACGCTAAACACAAAGATATTGGGGAACCCCGCGAGGTGTCACAGACAAGGGCTGATATGCAAGTTTTAGACAGAATTGTTTATTTTGCAACTGTACACATGTAGTGGTACATGTTTTGAGACGGGTGCTATTTAGAGATGATCAATTTGCACAAAACAATTTAGACAATCGCCTCAAGAAACCTCAAGATAATTTAAATGTCACACAACTAGGATAATGTCCGCCCGTCAAATCCTTGCCGACCTTAACAATATTTTCGTACAGTTTTCTGATCAGCTATCAATGACAAAGCTTTGGGAAGCTGTGGATAATGTCTGCTTCATTTGATTAACATGTAGTTTTCAGCAAACACAAATTACGACACACTGATTGATCTATGGATGGATAGATACGACTATGAAGAATATACAAGTCTTTTTGTACAGTTACAATATACATCATTACAGGAAAATACTTTCGAGATTTGTCAATATCCGACCACAGATACTATTGTTTAGGTGGTGCTGGCTTCTTGAAATAGTTCATATCTCAGATGTTCAAACACAGCCAGGGTCCTGTAAAAATACACGCATATCGTTTTGGACCAAAGAGTCCGTGGCCACCTTAAGTCTGACCATCTTTTTGACTGCCTCCTGCCACCAACGTGAACTGCATGCGACCTATTTTATCCCGGAAGCCCCACGGCGACACAAATAGAGTGACTTAAATGGTGGTTCAAGACGCGTGGCTTTTCGGGCCTACACACTGAAGAATACTGACTACAAAATTGCCCCCTTCTAGTTAGGGAAACGCCCTTAAACTCTGATAAACCCTTTATTTTACGCGTTTCATGGGTAATATTTTGTAAGTTCCAGTCTAACGGATAGAAGTTATACGATGTATACATAAAACAGTTCACGAGGAAGTTGCTTAGACTTGCTAGTTGTTATTATGTTTATCTCAAAACTAGCCTGAACGTAATTTCACCTAATATCGAGAGCGGGGAGGGTGGTAGGGGTGTTGAGGATATATAAAAAATCCAGCCATATCACAGAAGAGGACAAAAATGATGATATCACGCATGGTATTCATGTAGGGATTCGAACTCGGGTCTTAAATTCAGCGTGTAATGAGCCTGATAATTGTCTTATAAGAAATGCTGCCAAGAAAGTTATATATAATAATTCACTATTTGAGTTGTTGACAATTATATTTCCGAATTCGGCTTCATGCCGGCAAGGGCTCCAATTCAGCTCGTAACAAACCAACATCTGTACTGGGGTCTGAGGTTAAACCCGCATGTCAGCCCGTAAACAGACCAACATCTGTCCTGGGTCTGAGTTTAAACCTGCATGCCAGCCCGTAAACACACCAACATCTGTACTGGGGTCTGAGTTTAAACTAACATGCCTGCAGATGGAAGGGCGGGCAATGGACGCTTTAGCACTCCCCCCACAAGACGGGCGATGGACGCTTTAGCACTTCCCCGACAAGACGGGCGATGGACGCTTTAGCACTTCCCCCACAAGACGGGTGATGGACGCTTTAGCACTTCCCCCACAAGACGGGTGATGGACGCTTTAGCACTCCCCCCACAAGACGGGCGATGGACGCTTTAGCACTTCCCCGAAAAGAGGGGCGATGGACGCTTTAGCACTTCCCCCACAAGAGGGCCGATGGACGCTTTAGCACTTCCCCGACAAGAGGGGCGATGGACGCTTTAGCGCTCCCCCCACAAGACGGGCGATGGACGCTTTAGCACTCCCCCCACAAGACGGGCGATGGACGCTTTAGCACTTCCCCGACAAGACGGGTGATGGACGCTTTAGCACTTCCCCCACAAGACGGGGGAAAATAAGTGACTTGGTAGACCAATTGCTTGCTCAGGATTTTGTATGAGATCATTAATGAAATCATTAATTAACTGGGGTAAAATTGGTTCAATATATTTCAATCTGTGAAAGACTGTAGCATAGCTTCAATGTTGACAAAAATAAAGCCAAAGACAAGAGACAATCTATGCTAGATTTGCATGGGTTAGTTCTGCACATCACTAGTTATAAGTCACATCAACAACTATGACCACCATAGGAGACAGGTCCATATACAAATGCACCAACTTTCAAGCTCACTCTTCTCCCTGGCATTGTCCTATGCACTTCCCCCACAAGAGGGGCGATGGACGCTGACTACATATCTTCAGACGCTTATGGCAAAGAGAATGGGGTATACTCCCAACAATGAAGCAATTACACGCACCTTCTGCGTACATGTCAGTTTGTTGTTCTGGTGTAGGGACTCATCACGGGATCTCCAGCAGGTTTGATAGGAGATTGCCGATGCCAGCCAAAATAGAGTCAGTTTAGTTTTACGCCGCACTCAGCAATATTCTGGAGTCTGGACCAGACAATCTAGTGATCAACAGCATGAGCATCGATCTGCGCAAGGATGACGTGTGTCAAACAAGTCAGCGAGCCTGACCACCCGATCCCATTAGTCGCCTCTTGCGGCAAGCATGGGTTACGGAAGATCAATATTCTAACCCGGACCTTCACGGGTATTCAAAATAGACATGACGGCTCCTTCACATTGTCCACAGAGTTATGGATATCACTCGGCGCACCCAGAGCTGGATTCATATCTAATGTGATATGATATGACATATTAGGATGTATGGCTTGCTCTATCATAGTCTCCCTTGCATTATGAGATCCAGGCCAGATTTCCGACAGCACCGACAGCCAAACCTCCACGTACATGCAGGATTTGTCAGAGGCGATCCGTATTCGCTCTATCCATGCTGTCAAGTTAGCATTTCCAGTGCCGCTGGAGTTTCATCCACATTCTACCCAAACACATTAATCGATGGTATTTGGTGTAACCCACACCGGCGTTCAGTGGATAGGCCAAGCACTGCCCACCTCAGACTCGTGGAGATCCGGGTTAGAATTGAACTTCAGTAACCCATGCTTGTCGTAAGAGGCGACTGACGGGATCGGGTGGTCAAGTTCAGTGTCTTGGTGGACGATTGATAATTGAGATTGATGCTCATGCTGTTTACCACTGGATTGTCTAGTCCAGACTCGATTATGAACAGACCCCTGCCATATAGCTGGAATATTGCTGAGCGCGGCGTAAAACTAAACTCACTGCCCCTATCTCCACCACTAGACTATCTATTCCCTGTCCCACTATCTCCGCCACTAGACTATCTATTCTGTATCCCCTATCTCGACCACTAGACTAGCTATTCTCTATCTCCTATTTCGACCACTCGGCTATTTATTCCCCTTTTCCTCTATCTATTCCTTGTCTCCTATCTCCACCATTGGACTACCCCTTCCCTATCTCAGTATCTCCAGCATTAGACTATAAATTACCCATCTTACTATCTCCACCACTAGACTATTCATCTCCTATCTCCGCCACTCGACTATCTATTCCTTATCTCACTATTTCCACCACTAGACTATCCATCTCCTATCTCCACCACTAGACTATCCATCTCCTATCTCCTCCACTAGACTATCCATTCCTATCTCACTATCTCCACCTCTCGACTATCTCCACCTCTCCACCACTATCCATCTCCTATCTCCACCACACGACTATCCATCTCCTATCTCCACCACTAGACTATCCATTCTTTATCTCACTATCTCCACCACACGACTATCCATCTCCTATCTCCACCACTAGACTATCCCTTCCCTATCTAACTGTCTCATTTTACTACGCCTGGTGATAATACGGTCATCCACAATATCATGATCTTATCAGGATATGAATCTAACGTGAGGTTTCGAAGGTACACCAATACTCGTAAAACCGAAGGCAATCCTTCCATTGTTGACAAGGCGTAATATGAAATGTGATACACTCACGTACATCTCATCTGTTCGTGTGTTATCCACCCCTATGCAACTCACTTCCCTGTCCCCCTAGCGCACACACATAGTTACTACCTGTTCATTGTGAATGTCCGGCTTCAGTTGCCTAGCAGATAGAATGGAGTATACTGAATAGTAACCCCGAGCTCTGGAAGCAGCCCTTAGTTATTCCATTGTGTTCTCCCCGAGTTACACATTTTAGTAGATTGCTTTAGGATGTACTAACAATATATTTTCTCGCTACTACATGTAAACACATGTTACCCTAGCCAACAAATACGCTTCACGTATACACGATGTACAATCACACGGTGATTATCTCACGTTGATTGCTCTATATCAGCTCATTCTTAGTTAGCCATCCAGGCATGAATTTACTGAAATTCAGTACTTATTGCTATTCAGATACTTTATGAGTCCATCCCTCCATTGTAATGTAGATAATATCTCAGTGTCATTTCAGGGGTATACTAAGACGAGGTAATACTGATACTGTTAAATGGGTGTCTTATCAATTGCGAATATTTACAACGTAATTTTACGTAAATTTACGTAAGGCTATAAACTATTTTCCAATTTTCAATGTTAAGTTGAGTTTTCAGAAGGCGTCGATTCTGTTGAATATACACACACGGGTTAGGTTCAAATGGAAAAGTCAATGTTATGCCACGTGCACACACAGGCAATGACGTGATAACCTACTCTATACTGTATTGTTGTACATGGAGGCCAGGGATGGTGGACAGAGTTACTACACACAATTTCATGTTTCGTTTTTCGATGAATGAATTAATTCAAGACATTATTATGGTCTTACAAAAGTGGTATACAGCTACAAAATGGTACTCCATAAGTTTATCTTACTATTTGCTAATGCTGATGCGCCTTTGTCAGAAACGGTAGTTGGACTCAAGTGACCATTGGGGGAAGTCGCTGACGTGAACTTGCTTAAATAAAATAAATCGTGTAAATTAAAGTTGAGGACAATTATGAAATATA